CAGTTGGCGCACAGAGACTGAAATAACAAGGTTAGTTTGGATTCCACCATCGAATGTTGAGAACAGAAGAACTCACCTTGGGGCCGGCAGGGCCGTCTCGGACCGCCCAGACGCTCGTCCCCCACGTACGGCAGTGCGAGCATCGCCAGGTCATTCTCTCCATGTCCGTCAGGGCCCCTACTCCTCCACCGTATCCGCCCACGTCTGGCGTCAGTCGCCCCAGCGGAGTTCCGCCGCGGGCGAGGGGACTTAGGCTGCGGAACCGTCGCTTCTTCTTGGACCGTTCGCCTCTGCCCATTCGTTCTTCCTCGGCCTCGACGGCCGTGCCCGCACCGAAAGGAGTGCCTCCCATCATGCCGGTGGTCGAGCTGAATCGCGCCGTCTCACGCCGCAGCCGACGAATCTGCCGCTCGCGGTCGCCCTCCCGCTTCTCCATCTCTTCTTTGCTGAGGAACTCGACCTTGGGCTCCCACTCATCAGCCAGGTGGTCGGGGTCGTACCTCCAGCCAGCCTCTTGGCCATGTGCGGCGTCGTTTGGCAGCTCCTGCTGCGCTCCGCCCCAGCCTCCCACAAGGCCTCCAGCCTCGCAGGCTTCCTTCTTGAGGCGAAGGACCGCCTCGTAGATGGCATGTGTCATTGCCGGAACCCACTCGCCCGCCAGTCCCAGATCGGCACAAGTTGCCTTTGCAAATGCCTCGGCAGTGCCCGGGGGGTGGAGAAGCGACCACTCAAACTTGTCCGTGTACAGCATGGAGGAGAGGTTGAGACTCAGGTTGATGATGCATCGATAAGTGTCGTCGGGGTTGTAGTCGTCAGAATCAGGCAGGATAGGAGTGGCTTCGGCTGTGACGTCGGGTGCCTGCGATGTCTGCGGCTGCGGTGTCGGCGTCGCCTGGCCACCCGTCTGTATGGGAGTCTCAGGCCGAGACACGCCCCTCGCAAACGAAGCGGGCGAGTCGTCGCGGGACTTGAATATGCTGGGCCTCGGGGTTCCGGCTGCTGTTCCCGAGCCCGCAGCAGCGGCTGTCGCGGCTCCCTGGCTAGGCGGCGGTGGCGCCGCAGTACCAGGTGCCTCGGTGTGGAAGAGCGGGTGCAGGGCAACGCCGGCATACTCTTCCAGCTGCGTCCGGATCTGCTTGCTAATCTCCGCAATGACGGCCGGCCGGTTGGGCAGGTCCAGGTCCTGGGCCAGCGTCTGCGCAAACTGGTCCGTCGTGATGAGCGTCTCGTGCAGGTTCCAGCAGAAGATGTCGCGCAGCTTGTAGGGCACCGTCATCTCCTGCGGCCGGTACTGGGGCAGGGAGATGTC